TTGCTGAGAGATCACAATACTTCCCCCTCCCCAACCCTGGTCTTCTCCTCTGCCTGCTCCCCCCACTATATCCTGGGATGGAAGTTTGCTGGCTCCCTGAGCAGCAAAGCAGCAAAGTGGTCCTGGCAGGGGCTGGAGGTGGTGGTGGGAGGGAGGGGAGTGGGCTGAAAAGACAGAGCAGAGCCCTTTTGGAAGAGGAAACCTCAACCTGTGTGACGAGGTGGGCAAACAGCATCATCTCCCAACAGCTCCTGCTCCATTAAAAGCACAGTGGGTTTGTGGAGAGCATCTCCAGGAGGTGCAAAGAAACGGGCAAAGCAGATCAGCTCTCTTCTCCACCCCAGGACACCCCCTGATTTCACTGACTTTCACTGAATTTTTAGAGTTGGAAGGGACCATAGAGATCATCTAGTCCAACTCCCCTGCTGAAGCAGGATTGCCTAGAGCTTGTCAGATCATGCCACTCAGGACTGCATCCAGGTGGGTCTTGAAAATCTCCAAAGAAGGGGACTCCACAACCTCCCTGATTCCTCCATCCCTACCCGGGCACCGTCAGCCTGCGATGCTGGAGCTTCCCATCGCCTCCCAGGGCTACAAAAAGGCAGATGCTCCCAAAGTTAACATCTTGAGACCACAATGAAACGATCCCAGAAACAGCAGCAATGAAACGCTCTCCCGCACGGGGAGCAAACAGCATCATCTCCCAACAGCTCCTGCTCCATTAAAAGCACAGTGGGTTTGTGGAGAGCATCTCCAGGAGGTGCAAAGAAACGGGCAAAGCAGATCAGCTCTCTTCTCCACCCCAGGACACCCCCTGATTTCACTGACTTTCACTGAATTTTTAGAGTTGGAAGGGACCATAGAGATCATCTAGTCCAACTCCCCTGCTGAAGCAGGATTGCCTAGAGCTTGTCAGATCATGCCACTCAGGACTGCATCCAGGGGGGTCTTGAAAATCTCCAAAGAAGGGGACTCCACAACCTCCCTGATTCCTCCATCCCTACCCGGGCACCGTCAGCCTGCGATGCTGGAGCTTCCCATCGCCTCCCAGGGCTACAAAAAGGCAGATGCTCCCAAAGTTAACATCTTGAGACCACAATGAAACGATCCCAGAAACAGCAGCAATGAAGCCCTCTCCCGCACGGGGAGAAGGAAATTCCTCCAGCCTCCGAGGCTGCTGCCTCGCTCCTCCGCTGCCCTGGAAAATACATTTGCAAAGAGAAAAGAAAAAAAAAAAAAAAAGCAGCTGGGAAGGGCAACAAACAACTCCCAGCAAACTCCTCACAAACTCTCATTTCCTTGCTTTGCAAAAGCTGCCACTCGCCGCCGCCTCCCTGGGCTTTTTTAGGGTCTCTCTGCAAAAGAGGCGCTGGTTGCGGCAGGCGCGGGGTAAAGTCACTCCTTCGGCAGCTCAAATTTCCCTGTGTAGCAGTTTCACAGCGGTTTTTTTTGCTAAACAATAGCAAAAAAAAAAACCAAAAACCAAAAAAAAACCAACCACCCAAACCCAAAAAAACCCCATCCCCTGCACCCAGGCGAGCAGGGAAGGCTTGACAGCTCCAACAGGACACCTCATCCCACCACACGTCTATGCAAAATAAATCACCGCTGTGTCTCTCGGCATTTTATTTCATTTTATTATTTTTTTTTTCCTCATGGCATGGCAGTGATTTTGCCATTCAAAGGCAAATCGGCCGGGCTCCAAAGTCCACATGCCCCTTCTCATGGTGTGTGTGTGTCCCCCCCACCACACACAAATACTTTTCTCCCACCAGTGAGTCCTGCGGGGGGGACGGACAGACGGACGGACAGATCCCATCCCCTTCCCTTCGCCTTCAATTCACCGGGCGCACCTCTCCGAGCAACAAAAGAAGAAGAGTTGAACCCAACGTGTGCCCACCTCGGCTCCTCTATTTTTTTCCCTTCTCAAAATGTTTATTTTCAGTTTTTAAAAGACACCTTAAACCCGCCATGTTGAGCTGACAAGCTTTATAAATATTCATTTACCGCAGTTCGGGAGCGCTACGGGGAAATATGTATAGATCAGGGGCTGCACATTTTGGCACAGCTGATTGCTTTCTTTTCTTTCCTTTTCTCCCTCCCCGCCTTTAGCAGCGGCTTTTTCCTTCCCCCCCCCGCACTCCTTTCCCGCACCCCCCGAAATAACTCTTTCCGAGATGTGCACCAGTGAATCGGAGAGGAGCTGGCGCAAGCGGTTAGCGAGAAAGCACCACAAAGATAGGTATTACTTCCAAAAAAAAAAAAAAAAAAAGAAAGGGAGGAATAAGAAAAAAAAAATAAAAAATAGAGAAATGAGAGCGTCTAAAATGCGATCCTGCCTTAATTGCGCGCCCTGCCCGTGGGAACTCCGCCGTGCCCAAACCCCACCGAGCCCCCACCGAGCATCCCAGGTACCAGCATCTCCCCGAGCCACCCAAACACTTCCCAACAACTCCACCGCGGTTTTCCCCTTCGGAATGGTGGGGGGAAAAAAATAATAATAAAAAAAAATCCACACCCAGCTTAAAAAAAAAAAAAATTACATTTTTAATCTATCTAGGAAGGGGGAGAGCGACTCTCTCCACCCAAGCGGCGCAAAACCCAATAAATAAAATAAAGGGAAATGCCAGGCGGGAGGGTTTTGCAGGGGAAGGGGTTGCCGGGCGCGGTATCTTACCTGAGCAAGTTTGGCTTTTTTTTTTTAAAGCTGTTTTTCCCTTTTTTTTTTTTTTTTTTTT